GAAAGAATGATACGGAATTACGCGCGGCGCGATGCCACCGGCGAGATAGCGGCCAGGATGAATTTGTTACCGTGGAAAAAGCCGGCGGAATTCTCGAGCCGAGTTTTCGAGTGCTCGCGCGCGCGCGCAGCGACCGGCGCGCGATCGTTCTCAGGAACGAGCAATCGGTTCGACAAACTCGAACGCGACCCGAAACCTCGATTTCTCGAATCTGCGTTTCATCGGCTCGCGCTGCCGCTTCTAATCGCGCGGTAGCCTACATCCTCGGTTGTTCGAGAGGACGGCGGATTCCGACGTTGTCCGGAGCCGTGGGACTGTTTCCCGAGACCTGCCCCAAAGTTACCGAAAGCAGGCCGCTATCGCGTAGGGCCTGCGTCTTTTTCGGGCCAGTGACAGCCCGTCTTGTCTCGGCTCTCTGCTCTCTCTGCTCTCTCTGCTCTCAAGTGGCACCGAGCCGCGCCGACCTTTTCGGATAGACGCGCCAGAAGTCGCTCCCCTCGGCTTCTGCCTTTCGAGGACGAAAAGCAGATACTCGAGAGTACTCGTACTCAAATAGAAACCCAGGGACGCGATCTCCGCGGTGATAACGCGGTCTCCTTTTCCGAATAATTTCGAGACGATGTTCGCCGAAGATGGTGAAACGCGACGGTGAACGGGCTAAGAAAATCTCGCGACGAGAAGAGAGAAGCCGAATCGGTGGGCAGCCGTGAGAACCGAGGCCTCGATCGAATCGCGTTCGGCCGCATTTTTAAACGTTGCACGGTAGCTTTTCCGGTAGAGGTAGCAAGCGGGTGCAGCTCGCGTCTTCCAGCTCGCCTCGTTTGCATAGCCATCGCCGCGAATAATAAATAACGAGCGGAGCGAGACAGAGAGACGCTGCGGAGGGAAAACTCGTCGAGAGAAAGAGAGAAAGAGAGAGAGGGGGAGAGAAGCAACGTGTGTGCGTGCGACTTTGCGGGGCGATCGTTGTTGGAACGTCGGTGTGCCAGACTACAAAGCGGTCTCACAATGGTGGGAGAAACGCGGCGCGATATCCCGGCTGTGTTTCCGTTCAAACGTTCAAACAGAGGTCCGCGCGGCTGGCATGGCAAGCCTCGGCTCGGCTCGCGTCGGTTCTCAAGGCGCAGGTGTCAACCGCGCCGCGTTTCCGGACGAGATTTGTGCCATCGCGTTCGGCAACGAACGAGCCTCGGCTCCGGCCTCGGCCCCGGCCCCGGCTTCGTTGTTGTGTGTCGCAGGTAGGTGGGACAGGTGCAACGGTTTCCTCCTTCCCGAGTCCCCGGTCCCCGGTCTCGAGTCCTCGGTCGCCGGTCCCCGGTCCTCGGAGACGATAAAGGCCCGGTTCCCTCGCCGCGACCGCGATAGCGATATCGCGAGGAAACGGAGACGACCGACCGAGGTCTCGAGATCCCCTCGATCCCCGCGCGTGCCCTCGCGAGCCCTCGCGCGCGTCGGCTTCGATTAATTGGGGGTTGCGCGCCGGGCCCCGAAAAGGGAGACAGAGTTACGAGCCTTTTAATGCCCCGCTGATAATCCGACGGAACAAATGCTCCGTCTCGGGAACCGGGAATCGGGGAATCGACAATCGGAAACCCGAGTGCAAGACAAAAGCGTGTTCCAACGCCGACCGGCCGATAGCCTCGCGCAGGAATTTTGCGTTAATGTACCCCGAAACCCGCGTCGACGTCGCGTCGTTTCGCTCACCGTAGATCTCTCGATCGCTTCGGCGATCTCTATACCGGCCGACCATTTCTCCTGACTTTTTCTCCGTTTCTTGCATCGGTTAACCCTCGCCACTCGCTATACGTGTAGCCAACGCGATCTTTAGAAAGAGGACCGGCCCGACTCCGGATCTTCGGTCGTCGTCGCAATTAAATCCTGTCTTTCCCCGTTTCCATGGACAGCCTCTCGACGATAAGCAACATCCGAGATCGAGAATAATTAATCTTGTCGAAAGACTCGCTCGAAGAGAGCCAGGACAATGCCCCACGGAGCAATTCGCGATCCGAACTCGCTCTTCCTGTCGGCGATTTTCTCTTCTCTCTTTAGGAGAAAGGAAGGAAACCGATTCCAGAAACCGAGTCGAAGATCGTAGAACGCGGGAGAAGAAAGAGAGAAGAAGGGAAAAAGGAGGGAAGAAAAGAGGATCCTTCTGGCAGAGTTTTGTAGGAAGCGGCGTCGCGCAGCGTTTCTCGAGAAGTCGCGATCGACAGCGGTCCCCTGCTCGTTCGAGTGGTATATCGGACGCTACGACTACGAGTGGCTGCCGGAGCACAGTGTCAATACTATCCTCCGGAGAGCGAGTTAACACCGTGGCTTTTAACCTTCCCCCGAACAGAGAGCCGGAGAGAAGGAGAGAGAGCGCGCGCGAGAGCGAGAGCGAGAGAGGAGAGTCCGGCTCGATTGCCGATCTAGCTTTTACGATTCATAACTCAAATATAGCTAGGCGAACGAAGAGAGAATCGGGGAGGGGAAGAGATGGTCCAGACCCCGGACATAAACCGTTTATTTATATGTTCTACATAATGTTCGTTCGTTCGTTCGCCACCCCACGGAATTTATTTATTATGGCTGCGCGGGAGCGAGGGCCTCGAGACGCTCCGGGTTCGATCAACCGAGCGTGTGCTCCGCGCTCCGCAATTAAGAGAACAAGCCTCCGTAACTGTACGCTAATTTCCAAGAGACAGCCGCGACAGGTGTCGAAGCGGTTTCCGAGAATCCGTAGCGGAAACCTCTCGCGTTCGCGAGGCTCTTCGCGCAGGAAATTCGATCGCGTGCAATCGTAACGAGTACGAATGCGAACAATGCGGATAATTCTCTCGATCGAAACGGTTGATATTAAATCGCGCGCCCCGCATCCGAGATCGTACTCCGCTGATCCAGAGATCGACGGCGCGCGGATCGCGTCCGATCTTATCGTCGCGTCGCGTCGGTCAACTTATCCGGTTTCTGGACGAACGAGCGAAGGAGACGCGATATATCCGACGGAAGAGCTCGCTCGCGGGCCAAGCATTGTCCTCGGGACGAGCGAGTCGAACGAGGACATGGTCGGTGCGGGGGTGGGGGCCGTGGATAGCATTACGCAATGAAATCTAGTTGTCCAGCCAATGGATCCGCATCCTCTGCCGGAGCAGCAGCGACAGATTCACGCATCGAAGCCGGTTGCCCGCGTGATTCGAGCTCGACCAACCGCTGGAACGTCTGTCACCGACGGGCTAACCGTCTCCTCTCGGTTAACGACGTCCACTTAACGCTAATAATTATTTTCATTGGGGGCCTCGTGTACACGGGTCTCCCCCAGCCTACGGGGCCAACTTCCTGCACGAACGGATATAAAAATAGAGCCGGTACCGCGCGACCGCGCGACCGCGGACATTATTCTGAACGGGCAGACGCAGATGCTTCGTGCGATCTTCGAACGCTCGGAGCCCGGTCGCGTTTCCTCCGCTATCGGTATCTAGCTCCGAGTGTCCGATTTCGTCGTTGGATCGCGGACCAGTTTTATTTTTCATAAAGAACCGTCTACTCGCCGAAAACTGGCGTCGAAGAGCGTCCATCGATTTCCCTCGTCGCGTCTCGTCGCGTCGGCCAGCTCGCGATCCGAGAGCGTACGAGTAAGACGAGTTTCCCTCGGACCTGTCCGACACGTGGGAGACGCGGCCAGGGTGAGCAACGAGCCAACGCGGAGCGGGGACACGGGGCAGGCTCGTAAATTATTTAGGAGCTCGGACCGAGGTGTCGGCGCTGGTCTCCTCGATTGGCCCTCGCTGCCCAATCCGGGAGAAAATTAAATAACAACAAAACGATAAAAGACAATTGTTTCTAAGTTTTATGGCGCTGGTTCTCGCGGCCTGTCCGACAGCCCGACGAGACGGGAGGGCGTTTTATTGTCGCTCGGGGTCTGGACCGGCAGCCCCATTCGTGATCCACGCTCCGCACTTTATTTAGGAGGAAAACGATGGGGTCGCTCGCTTGGATTTCTACACCCCCGATATAACCGCGCGTGCTTCATTTTTCTAGTTCAATTTTCCGTCGAACCGCGTTCCTCGTTCTTTTCGGCTGAAATTATTCCGCTCGAAATTCTCCGATTCGAAGTCGTTTCGCTTTCGACGAATCTTTCGAAATGGATCGCGCGTAGTCGGATGCTGCGATACGAAAATCTCGCTATCGCATCGAGTCGTACAGCGACGAAGGGTTCATTGATTTCTACCGTCAGAGCCGAGACAATGGTCCGGCGAGAGGCGGCGAGCAAGCGAAGCACGCGACCCGAGGTTCTCTCGGTCGCTCGGCGTCTCGGGGTCCGTCCTTTTCCAGGTTTCTTTCCCGACGAGCGAGTCTCTCTATCATCGCGGCCGTGGCAATAAGAGAGGGCTTACGGTTCTCGCCATATATTGCGGCCACATTTTTATTTTGACACTAATAGCCACGTGGTATCGAGCTCGAGCATGACTCGAGTCCGTCCGATCGTGCTAATCCCGGCTCGATATTGCCCGTATAAATCCCCGGGACTCGCAGGACGTTTACACACACATACACACATACACACGCTATCGCCGAGAAGGGAGAGGAGAGAGCGGTCGGTGGCGAGAAAGAGATCGCGGATCCAATACGAAGTGGCGCCTAATGCTATCCTGATTTATCGATCGAACCCGGGCAACGCTACCATCGGCCGTCTCTCGGCCCGAGGAGCGAGCCGGGCAACAGTTGGAATTAGAAGAACCTGTTCCACAAATCAACGCCCTTTCTTCTACCTCTCCTCTCCTCTCCTCTTCTCTGTCTCGTTCTCTCTCGCCGCGGCTCGTCCCTATTGTCTCGTGCACGCTCGCAACCACCGGAATTTTCTCCTCCTTCTCCTTCTGCTTCTCTCCGTTCAGGTCCCCGTGCGATAACGATAACGATAACGATACCGACAAACCGAGCCCACACTTTTCGCAGAGAGTAGTCACGGTATCGTAAGCGTCCGCCAGCCACAACTAACCGGTTCTTTTTCTCTGTTTTAGGTATGTATCGGATTGGATTCGGCCTCGTATCGACACGGACGCGGCGTTTCGAGAACACGAGGCGCACACCAAACGTTTGTCAGTCACGCGACTGCACGGACAGCGGTTTCCAATTATTCGGTGAGCAACGTTCCCCGCTGTCTCGCGTCGGGGCTGCCGATTTTATGCGACTCCGGTAGAAAGTCGGCTTTCCGAAAGATATTCCGACCCTCCTTCGCTTCCGCTCGATAATCTTACCTTCGCGACTCGGCTCGCGAATTACCGTCCTTTGTCCTCTCTCCGTACTTTTCTCGCTTCCTTTATTCCTGTATCGCATCGTCCACCGTATTCTCAGAGTTCTCGGTCTATGCGTTGTTCCTTGCTGGAACACCATTTCGGTTTGACGAGCTTTAAAAATCGCTTAAAGATTATTAAATCGCTTCGAGAAGCGTTAACCTCTCGCAGAAACATTTCGTCGCGTTCAATCTTTATCCACGTATCAAATCGTCGAGATATTCTACCGTGTCTTCGTTTTCCTTCATTGCCAAATTATCTAACCATTCGTGTTCGCGTTAATGTTCGCATCTTATCTAGAAAATCGTGGTCGCGAGTCCGACTGCAAGGGGTTGACGCATCTAGAATAGCGAAACGAGAGAAACGACGGGACGATCGCCGCCCGAGAAAAGTGTAACAAGAATCTTGCGTATCAAAGGACTACCTCGTGCAAAGTATAATCGAACGACCATAGCTAAACGATACCTGGACTCCTTCGTCTAATTGGCACAGAAAATCTCATCGCGGAGGATTTCGTCATAAACGAAAGGCTTAAGAATTTCTGAACAGTCGTCTCGGTTAACGATAAAGGGGCGCTCTGGCCGGCCAGTTTTCGGACATCGAGAAATCCCATTCGGTGTCCGGATGTTTCCACGGACAGGACGTAAAGTCCCCCGGTATCCAATCATCTAAATTATTCCATAAGACGGGACTCGAATGTCGCAGAAGGGACCAACGCGGCGCGCGGCTCGGCTCGGCTCGGCGTTGGAGCGAGGAGATCGGCAACGACACGGCTCGTACAGCGAGCGAGACGCGACGCGGGTTTACTGCTTCATAACTCGACCCGAGCCGGGACAATCGCCCGGTTATGATTTCGGCTTCTATTTTGACTGCTCTGATCGCGGTGGGTGGCCCCGGACAACAGAACGCTACCAGAAATATGCTAGCTCGTAAACCGCGACCCTACCTCGTGGCCGCGGCAGCCTAGCACGCGTCCGCCGGCCCCGGCTACCGGTTCTCTCTTCCGCTTCCTCCGTCGTCGCAGTCGTCGCAGTCGTCGTCGACGTCGACGTATCGTGTGCCAGCAGGAAACCTTTTTCGCGTCCGTCTTACGCCAGCGCGCCGATTGGATTGATACGAAGAAAACGTCGTTCTTCCGATTAGTTTCGAGCCGCCGATCGATCCTCGCACACCCCCCCTAGGGATCACCGTCCCCTTTAATAAATTTGCTCGAAATCGTTGCGTAATAGACATCGATCCGTGGCTCGACCGCTGTCCCGTCCGCTCGGCTTCCTCGATGCGCGAACGCGACGCTCCCGCACGCGGTCTTTCGATCGTCTAGATTCAACTTCTCGCCCTCGCCGTTCCTCGAAGTCTTCGACGAACGGAAACATCGAATTTAGCGAGCCGTTCCACGAGTACACGTTTTACACTTGGCCGAGCTGAAACGCGTCTCGGTTTCCGATTTCACAGTCGGTCCATCGAGCTCGGAAGATAGGCGTATCGACCGGAGACGTTCCATCTTGTCAATTTTCCGCGTTCGAGACGCGTCGGAGACGCGGTGGTCGCTCGGCGCCTTAAATCAACGGTTAACGTTCGCGCGTAATGCCGCCGCGAGGGCCAGTGACACGCCTCGGCCATAAACGGCGACCCACGGGCACCTCGCGAGGCGCGAGGCGCGAGGCGCGCGAGGCGACCGACCGTCTAGATGTAGGTGCTGCTCGGCCCGGGCCGTCGCGGGCCGCGGGCCGCGCGCGGTACACGCCTTCGCGACAGCTTCTTTCCTTTTGCCTTCTTTCGTTGCCTCCCTCTCGGACCGATCGTCTCGCGGCGAACGAGATGAGAGGGCGGATCGCCCGCGCGGAATTTCCTGGGTTCCATTATCAAAGCTTATGGTTAGTCCGTCGATTTCACGCGTTTACGGCGGTTGCGGGTTCACCGGACGCGCTAAAACGTCGATCTCTCGAGAATCGAGACGCGAACGCTCTGCGAGGAAAAGTTTCGCCGCGGTACAATTTTCCTGTCAATCTCGTTCGACTTTGACAAGGTTTTTAGAATCGATGCGGAGCTTTGTAAATTAATAAAAAAAGATACGACAAGGTTAATCGAAAAGAACGGTCGCGTTTCGCCTCTCGACAAAGGGTAAATCAAACGAAGATTCTAGCAGGACCACGATCGAAGATCCGACGTGCCCTCGCAGCCATAAAATCGTATCTCTGCGAACTTTTTCCTCCCGGCGCGGCGCGGCAGCGTTCCGGCGCGGTTCGAACAACGTCGTTAGGCAAAATCGCTCGCTCGAGACACGCTGGAAGAATCCTTTATGCTCGGTGCTCGAGATAGGAGAGACAGAGAATTCTTTGGAGGGAGGGAAAGAGTCGTAAAGGAGAAAGGCGGGAGGAATGGTCGCGGGGCAAGGGTGTGAGCAGGTGGCGCGAGGGAAATAATATTAACATAAGCTTTATCTAAATGTTAATACGCGCGATGTCACGCACGGAATTCCCAGAGAGCATCGCGTCGCGTCTCGTCGCGTCGCGAGGCCGCGTTGTATGCCGCAGTCTCCGGCCTCCGGTATCCAACCCCGACTAACAACCAACCCCCGGGTCCCGCCCGCGTTCCCGGGGGTTGAAAGCGCGCGACTCCGCCGCGGGCTCGAAAACGAACGCTTAAAAATGTAATAGCGAGGAGAGCCCGGGGATCGTCGGACGCGAAAACGACGCCGGGCCTCTTTATTTTCCCCATTATTCAAATATAAATGTAAATGTTGATACAAACGGATAGGTAAATGGAAAGAGAGAATTCAATTGTTCGTCGCTCAGGCGCGGCGAGAGCGCAGACAGCAGGGAGCCGGGCACGAAATTAGTTTATAAGGAAGCGAACAGCGTCGCGTCGGGGTAAAAAACTACGTCGAAACGAGAAGCGGGGGCTGGACGGGGAGAGGAGGACGAATGGACGAGGTCCTGGCGAGAGGATTCCCCCGGGTCCTGTACAGTCGTTCCAACAATTCGCGTCGCTTTTAAAGCGGCCCGATTAGAGAAGAGTTTTCGTCTCCTCGAAACACCGTCGTTCGATCTCTCGAAATCTCCTCGCTTTTTTATTCCTGCATTTTTTCGGCGCGTTACACCGACTCCCACGTTCGTTCGGACCTCTTCGCTCCTTCGGAATTAAAATTCATCCCCGAGAACTGGAGCTCCAGTGGCTCCAGTGGCTCCAGTGGCTAGCACTTGTTCGAGCATTCCCCGAAGCCCGTTTTACGAGCTTTTCGAAACCGTCCACTTGGCGATAGAACACTCGGACTTTGAAGCGGAGCACCGAATGACTTTTTGAAGCGGCTTCTCGCGCGATTGCTCACGGTCCTGAACGTCGAAAGCGTCGGCAGCCGCGTCGAGCAACCCGACAGTTTTCGAAAATAAGGTCGATAATTTACTCCTTTGAGCAACTTTGGGAGAAATCGTCGCATCGTTCGAAGCGAAATAAACCCAGTCGACGGGAGAACCGTGTCGCGCGAGGGCGCAGAGGTGTTCGATCGTCGAAAGAATGTTTCTCGCGAGTTTCGTTCGCGGTCGATCGGGCCGGAGGACGCTCCGCCGTGTCTCCGAGCCAATCGAAGCGGAACAGAGGATCGTCGATCGCCCGCAGGATTTTCGCGCCCTTTCGAAGCACGCGATCGAGCAGGATTAGCCGAACGCTTCGTCATCCTTCGCGTCGCGCGACGAGTCGTCCATTAAATCTGTCTCGCTGTTTCATATTGCCGAGCACGTGAACACCTTTCCATTGAACATTCGGACATGCTTCTTAGTTCGAACTTCGAGCATTTCTGCCGAATTTGATTCATTAGAAATATTTCCGTAGAGAGAATGCGATTTTCGAAACAGTCGTTCCGCCGTCGAGGCTTATCGCCGACTATCGTCGAGAGCAGCGCAGACCAGTCCCGATGGGGTTCGGCGCTAACGCAGTTATTGCAGCCATCGATATCGCGTTTCAAGTTCGGATTCATCCCCCGTATTATTTCGAGTTCCGAAAGTGATCGTCGGTATAGAAACGCCGGGGATATAGAAACGGGACAGGGTGCGCGCGTAGAACGAGTCGGCAGAGAAGAGAGAGAAAGAGAGAGAGAGAGAGAGCGACGGGGCGAGATGCAGGAAGGGAGTCGCTTTATCTTAATGCCGAAATCAAATCGGCTCTTGCATGGAATTAGAGATGGCATTACGAGCTATCAGCGCATATGCACCCTGCGCGTCGGTGCAACCCCATGGCCCGTGCTGTTCCACGAATCTACGCCACCGTGGCACAATGCCGGCCCGAAGGGCGAGAACAATGCGCGTCCGGGGGTAACACGAGAACCGCGCGTACACGGAACGATATTACCGAACCACCCTCTTTCCTGGCAAGAGTCTCGCGGAATGTCGGGCTCCGGCTGCCCTTCGTTTTCGACCCGCCAAAGTACCGGACCCCGGTTCGAACGCGGTGTCCTCGCTGTAAAAGTTCGAGGGACGCGTTCGTCCGCGCGATGCATCCGCGTTTTTCTGATCACTTTCGATATTCTTGTCGGAAATGCGTAACTGCCGCATCCATGGACGACAGCTTCCAAATCGGTCCCATGAAACGCGAGGGCATTTAGACGATCGGCATCGCGGAGGATCGATGACTGCCGCGGGAAATCCTGTAGCAGGCTTGTCGTCGGTCAGCGGGATCCTTTGCGTGTAACGGATCCAGAAGAGACACACCGGCGCGGTGCGGCGGCGGATTCTTAGAGCGACGCGGGCGACGTCGGCGTCGCCTCGACATCGTTATTGGCGATGTGGTAGCCCGGGGTGTGTCGGCGTAGCTGCGACCGCAGAGGTATCGGAGTGTGGCATGGCACGGGTCAA